CTCACTCACAGCATGTCCCCTGTGCTGGGGGTACCTGTGTGAGCCCTGACTCGGTGGGTGGCTGCTCGGCAGCAGCAGCAGCTTCAGTGCTCAGATGTTCAGGTTTCACTGAGCCTGCAGTGAAGCCTCGTGGCTGCTGTGACTCGTCCCAGGTTCCTGCACGTGCTCACGTGGACAGACCTCAACAGGCTCCTTTCTGGCACAACAAAAACGTGTCCAGACCAAGTCGAGAGGCTGATAATTCAGTGCGAGGGGATGTCTGTGGAGTGTCTCCTCCGTGGGCTTCTTGGTGTCACTGAAAGCTGTAAATGCATTTTCCATTTAAATATGGTATTTGCTAATGGAAAAAAAGCCTGAGAAAATGCAGATTCCTGCACACGCGTCAGGACTTGATGTTGTTGCCCTTAGAGAACCATAAAGAGTGAAGAAATGCATAAGCCACATGGATAGAAATGACACAAACACACAGAACAGGAGAGGGGGGATCTGTTTTACCAAATCCAATGGTTTTAAGTAAGGAAAGCCCAGGGGAAATCATGAGGGTATTATTTAAAACTGGGCTTCATAGTCAGAAGGTAAGGAAGAAGCAGTGGCTTGTCTTCAAGCTAGAAAATGGATTTCATTTAAGTGCTGGGATGACTTAAAACGGGATCTGAAGTTGTTGACACTTGTAATTCTCTGGAAATAATTCCCTGCTTTATCGCAGGATGTATTTGATGGAGAAACTTGAAACTTATGTAACATTGTGTGGGGTTGTGTTTATCTTAACATCACTAGGCCTTATTTTTGCTATTTTCAGTTAAGTGCTGTCGTTTTTCCTACTGTTTAATGACACCTTTTAAAGCCCTGTGGAAATCCAAACAAGTGCCAAATAAAGTGCTGTTGGTTTTTTTTTTTCTTTTTGGGTAGGTGCTGTGACAAAAGATTATGGACCAAAATAGATTTAAACCATTGTAAATCCATCACTCCACTTATGCTTAGTGGCATTATTAGGAGACAGCCTGTAACCCTTGATCTTAGCTGGACAAATATATCTAAAAAGCAGCTGAGTTGGCTTATCAACAGACTGCCAGGTAAGTGATGTGTTTCGATCACCAAATTTAGCAAACCCGTTTGTATGTGAACTGCAGCCTCTGGGGAAGGTCTGCAGGGATTGGGTGTTGTAGGAGAGGAGTAGATTCTCCTGGGTGGGGTGTAGATATGTAAAAACAATGGGTTAAAATGGGCCCAAAATTACTTTTTGTGACTACTTGACATGTTTGCTTAAAATAATTTGAGGCGAGTCTTGGCCAACAGGTGGAAAGGGCCTGTGCTGAGGTGATGAGAGGGGGTGGTGATGGTCACCCACAGCTGGGGAGTTCAGGTGATGGGAGAGGTGGAGATCTGGGCCAGAGGAGGCTCACGGGGTCCCTGCTTGTCCTGGAGTGCTGGGAGTGTTGTGGAGCCTTCGTGTGGCAGCAGAGATCACTGGGATGTCTCTGGGAAGGTCACACACTCCCTCCTCTTCTGTCTCTGCAGGTCTGCGGGACCTGCTGTTATCAGGGTGCTCATGGATAGCAGTGTCAGCACTTTGCAGCTCCAGCTGTCCTTTGCTGCGGACTCTGGACGTGCAGTGGGCAGAGGGGCTGAAAGACGCACAAATGAGAGACCTCCTGTCGCCGCCCACGGACAACCGGCCAGGTAAGGGAGAGGAGAGTGTGGGAGCCCCATCCCAGCCCCTGGGGCGTGTCCTGCTGCCGCGTCCCCTCGGAGCAATCGGGCAGGAGCCCCCAGAGCTGGGGCTGGGGCTGTGCTGACCCACGGGGTGTTCGAGGCAGTGACTTGCAGCACCTCCTGGCCGGAGCCCCGGGGTGACAGGGATGTTCTCTGGCTGCTGAACCATCGTCTGAGCCACTGTGCTGGTTTTCTGTCTGACTTTCTTCTCTTCAGGCTGCAACGGGTGTACTTTAGAGAGTATGGAAACACTTTCTTCCAGTTCAGGGAAGGAGCAGTTCTGTGGGTCATGCCCCATTCGCCCGGATTTCAGCTCAGGTGAAATTTTGAGCAAATCAGATCTGCTTTCTGGCATGCACTGCACAGCCTACTGCTTATTCCCGACTTGTAATTCTGCTGGGCCCCTGCAGTTACTTCCATCCCTTTTGTTTTGAAGTCAGGGGGTGGCTTTGTCCACGTGCCTGTTCCAAAAATAGACGAGTGTTCCTGCTGATGTCCCCTCCAAAGCTCCAGACAGGCAGAAGGGTGTGAAGTTGACCTAGGGCAGCAGTGTCGTGTGTCACGGTGCATTTCATAGGCCTGCAGATGTCGGCAGCGCAGGTGGGACTTGGGGGACTGACCTGCTGCCTCCGCTCCCCAGGTCAGATCGACAACCGGAGCAAGCTACGGAACATCGTGGAGCTGCGCCTGGCGGGGCTGGATATCACCGACGCCTCTCTGCGGCTGATCATCAGGCACATGCCTCTGCTCTCCAAACTCAATCTCAGTTACTGTAACCACGTGACAGATCAGTCTATTAACCTGCTGACCGCGGTCGGAACCACCACGCGGGATTCGTTAACGGAAATTAATTTATCAGGTGAGGGAGGCGCACGGGGGGAGGGGAAGTGCTCGCGGTGTTGGGCTTGGGTGAGGGGTTTGATCCAGCTTTTCCTGCCCCAGCCCGGGCAGCAGCTGGATGTGCTGCTGGTGGAAGTGGCCTGTGCCAGGACAGCCGCCCCCTCTGTGGCAGCTGCGAGCGGTCCCGTGCGTGTTTTGAGCCGTGAGCTGCACACGCTCATCCTGCCAGGGGATTGTCTCTGCTCTGCACATCTGGCTGCTTGGCTTTATCCCACGGTTACACAACAGCCTAACCGGGGGGATTGAGATGGGCGATGGAGCAGCCTGGGATTCCGTGGGAGGGGCACAAAGGACTGACCGCGGTCGGGATACGGGATAAGCCGTCCTCGTGTCTGAGAAGGAACCAAGCCGGGCTGTTAAATCCTGCCCTTTGTTCTCCCCCCAGACTGCAATAAGGTCACTGACCAGTGCCTGTCCTACTTCAAACGTTGTGGGAACATCTGCCAGATCGACCTGAGGTACTGCAAGCAAGTGACGAAGGAGGGCTGCGAGCAGTTCATAGCGGAAATGTCCGTAAGTGTCCAGTTTGGGCAAGTGGAAGAAAAACTTCTGCAAAAACTGAGTTAGTTAAAGGACTCGTGTAAATACTGGGGCGAGGGGGGGAAGGGACTAAGAACACGTAGGGATTTTATTTTCAATTGGGAACTTGGAATATCAGAAAATGCCGCGATTGGATTTTACAACTCTTGTCGAGGAGAGAACAACGTGAAACTACCCATGTTAAGAATTTCAACTTGTGCCACTAATTCAGTCCACCTGGGATGTCCTGCACTGGCTCTTATGCAAATTCATAAGGCGACTGTTACTGATGATAATTGTTCACACCCGGAAGAGGACTGAGCTCCAAGAAATACTGTTATTTAAAGTACCACAGCATGTGCTTGGTAGTGTAAATTTGATTTCTGCTTTTCATTTCTTAAAACAAGAAAAAAAAAAAAAGTTGGTGTCATTCAAGTGGACCACGCACTGCATTTCTGCCTTCTTAACACGTTTTGTTTTGTTACATCTTACATTATGCAGAACTATTTTTGTACAAAAATTGTTTAAAAATTATTTATGCAATGTTTGAATGCATTACCAGTGTTTCGGTTTTGATTGCCAATTTTTATCTTTACTTATGGTAGGCGAGAACTTAACCTATACTTCGTAGACAGTATCTATCTACAAACGTGCCCAGGTCAGGAAAAGTAGGTTCATACTTTCAACTTAAAGCATGTTTTAATGGAAGTTTATATCCTGCTTTGTATACTTCAGAAGTGACATAAGCATGTTGTGGAAATAAGGTGTAAATTATAGTTGAAGTAAAACACTTTTATCTGTATAGAAATCACCTTTTTCTCAAAATTTTAAAAAAAAAATCCAATTTCAGCTTTTGCACATAGGAGGGTTTCACTCTGTAGCATGAGCTCTTGTACTCAATATAAAATTAATTTATACAGTGAGTCCAGCAGTAGAATAAATGGTCAAACGTAGTCTCTCTTTCTTTGAAGTGTGAGTTGAGTTCTCATTTAAGGTTTATAACATGGTTATTTCCTGATTGTAAAATTCTGCATTCATAAGTGCCATTGTTGTACGGTGTTGTTTTCGTAGACCTTCCTGATGCAGTTTTACCTTTGTTGAATTTGTATAAACAATTGTACAAAAAGAGGTGCTGGTTCTGCGCGTTTCTGTTGCCCGGTGGGGCTGGGGGAAGGTGAGTTGGGGCTGGCCAGGGAGGGGGGGAGTGGCTGCAGTGACTGTGTGGTCTTTGTCCCATTCTCTAAGTGAGAATATTCCAAGCCTTTTTTTAATGAGGAAGCGGCAAAACATCCACTTCTGCATTCCCCCAGCAGGGATCTGCCCAGGGTGAGCTTGAGGAGCACTGACATCTCAAGCATTAAAGCCTGAGCAGAGTAATCACCACTTCCAGGGCTGCTTAAAAAAAAACCAGAGACAGAGGCTGGTGGAGCCCATCACCAATCTTTATTAAGCTTGAGTGGCTAATGAGCAGCATGGAAATAACACCGAGGGCATGTCTGTCTTCATTAGCCGCCCTGCTGGACAGACTCCAGGAATTAAGTACCATTAAAAAGTTACTTCTAAAAAATAAAGCCATTGAGAGGTTTGCTCCCTTCTGAAAAATACCCAGCAGAGCTCGGAGCTGTGTTTTAGGGTGAGGAGGAGCAACTTTCTCTCTTTCAGGGCAACTTAACTGTTCACAAAAAGGAGAGCCAGTGCCAGCACAGCAGAGGGACAATCCTCAGGTCCTGGACCTTTAGCAAGGCCCAGCCCTGACTCCGGTACTTTGCTGGCACGTGGCAAATCAGAACAGAAACTGTACCTTTGTTAATCAACTCAGAGAATAACTGTACTGGAGAGACAGGGTCCTTCTTCACCTCTTTTTTTTAACAGAGATCTTAACCAATCTGTCATGGCCAAGCTTGGCCACAGGGATCCTCCCAGATCCCCAACAGGAGCAACCCTTGCCCCTCTTCTTCCCCAGGTCATCCCTCACAGGTATCCTACAATTCCTGCTCCAAGAGGACCTTCCTGTACCTGTGCTGATGGCACAAAGCCCAGCTCAGCCCTGGGCCAAGGGCTGGCAGCGACACAGGGGCCCCAGCAGCCCCTGGGAAGCTGGTTTTGGTGACTCAGCCTTGGGGTGAAAGTCTCTGAACAAGAGGTTTTTAAATCAAACCTGCGTTTCCTTTCCCTGCTCCCACCTGCCCCCTTCCCTGTTAAGGTTAGTAATGCCACACATTCCACGTTAGCAGCAGGAGGTGGTGACCCTGATCAGTGTTCACAGTAACATCAGGCTGTCGGCACATGGAGTACAATCATCACAGAGTAATAGTTACAACAGGCATGAGCGGATTAAGGACCACACTAATAATATGGTTTGCTAGAATACCCCTTTTTAAAAAAATATTTTCTTCCTCATCCCAAAACCACCCAGTAACTGGTTTTTGGAGCCCACCTGGCAGAGCCCCGTGCAGCCCCTGAGCCCTGCAAAGTGACGGAGTGTTTTGTACATTGACAGAGAACAGCCAAGACAGCACATTGTGTCATGACAGACATTCAGAAGGAGCAATCAGCACACAGCCAGATTGCTTAAGGGCTTCTGTGCAGATACAGTTCATGGCAGTGCTTCCTACAGCCGTGCCCGACCCCGTGTCGGGACAGGTACATTCTAGAGTAAGGGAAAAGCTGAATATTCAACTGATATATTCATTGCTTCTAATGCACTAAGAACGTCACAGGCTCAAGCAGAGGTGTTTGCTGACCACTCGCCGAGTGCTGAACGTGTAAGGAGATTCTTCAGAAGAGAGCAAGAGCTGCTGTAAACAGTTTGACTCCAACAGTCCCCGACAGGGTGATCAGCTCAGCGGGGCAGCGCCAGCCCTGCACACAAAGGCCTGGCCTCGGCCTGCCCAGCCCTGCCCTGCCCTGCAGGAGGGGGGGTTAGAAAAACCTTTCACAAACTTCAGAACCGAACCTGGCGCTCGAGGGCCGTGTCTAACCGAGAACTGACGGGCTGAGGGGCTGCCGGGGCTCAGCGCTGCCACCCCCGGGAGCCGGGGCTGGCCTAGGACTTGAAGACGTGCACGGCGCGCACGACGTACTGGCGGCAGATGGGGCACTCGCTCATGCGCTTCCCGCACTTGGTGCAGGTGACCATGTGGCCGCACTCCAGCAGCACGCAGTCGATCACCGCGTCCATGCAGATCCGGCACAGGTTGTCGTCGTCCTCGTTCAGCTGCATCTTCTCACCCTCTGAAACCCAAAAGGGACAGGTCAGGCCCCCGGGCCCCGCAGCACCCGGGCGGTTCCAGCCCAGCCACGCTCCACTCCTGTGCTGCTCCCTTCTCACAAGAGTTTTTCTAACCCCCAGCTCAGAATTAATCTCCATTCCTCCAATAGCACTAGAAAGTCCCTCAGTGAACATCCCCATATTTAGCTCCATTCTCTAAACTCAGAAAACCATTTTCAATTCAGAATATAATGGCTGTGAAATAACGTGTTGGATTAAAATTCAGAGCGTGTTGGTTTTCCGTCCCAGAGCTCAGTGTTTGGCAGAACGTTTTCCTCAGAAGATTAAACACAATAATAATAAAGCAGAATAAGAAGTGGAAGCCCTAAGTAGGTCAGAAAGGTGGCAGAACTGAACTAAACATGAGGTTTTGTTGCAAATAGCCAACATCCTCATCAATAATTGAATGTTCCATCAGACCATGGTAAAAAAACTAAAAATCCTAAGTTTAAAGCTTTTTTTTTTTTTTTCCGAGCTTTGCTTGTGTGAGCAAGAGCTGGTCTGTGGATATTCTGTAACCACACAAGTAAAAGACTCCAGCTGCTGAGTGGAACAGACTCAGAACAACCCCAGTCACTGAGCTGCAGCCACAGAACCACCTCACCATGAAAACATGGACTGAGACCAAACCACTTGGACTTTTGCCACTGTAGCTTTTAATTCTGCTCTGCAGTGACAGAGCTGAAGTGCCCTGGCCTGCACAGCCGAGGAGCAGCTCTGGCTAATGCCCTGTGAAACCCAGCAAAGCATGTGGAGGTGCCAAGTTTCATGTTCTCTGAGGAACCGGTTCTCAGTTGTGCAATTTTACCCTCCCCGTGAAAGCTGAGCTCTCCAAGCTTTGGAAAAGAGTCTTAGAAAAACCAGCACAACCCTGGAAAGCTTCGTTTAATCACCAGAGCCACGGTCAGCTACTCTAGGGGCAGCTTGCATTGCTAAAACCCAACTTCCCAGGCGTTCCAAGTCAGACACCAAGTCCCGCTGGCAGAACCAAACACCGGAAACCAGAAAACGCACAGTCTTAAGAAAGTGAGAACAAAGTATAAACCTACGTGTCTTGTGGTTTTCCTCGCTCTCTCTGTACAATCTGCTCACTTTTTCCACAAGTTCCCATTTCTCACAGCATCCTGAGTAGTTGACAAAGTTACAGGCCAGTATTTCCTTCAGCTGCCGAACACTCAACCCTTCGATGTCTTCCAGGCTTGAGATGTCGGACAGCGACGCCCTCGCTCGCTTCCTGGACAGTCCAGGGGTCTGAAACACATCAGTTGTATGGTTTGAGTGTCCTGCTAAGCTCAGGGCCCCACATTTGGAGCTATATGAAGCTGCAGCAGCTTGGCTGAAGGTAAATTATTTTTAAAGTGAGCATGTGCAGACATTCATTGCCTGACACGGCAAACTCTGGAAGAACCAGAGCATGAGGCCAAATGCTGAGAGATCTAAACACTGCATGGTGTCACAGGCCAAAAATCTATTCTTTGGATAGTTCATCTCTCACCTGCTCTTCTGCACTTTCTTCTTCTTCATTATTTATAGATGTTTCCGTTTGGCCCTGTGTAAAAGATGAAACTAATTAGAATAAAAACCATGTTATTCCCTTATAAAACACTTCTCTTCAAACCAAGGTGATCATGGGTGACAATGACATTTAGAAGTTTCAGTTGTTACTAATCATTACTGGTTTAGGTCACCTCTAACCTAAACTAGGAATCTTTGCTAAGTCTCCTGGTTTCAGGTGTGAGATACAAAAGGTGTTTTTCCTGCCCCTCCAAACTGTACCAGTTGGTGTTTTATCTTAAAGTGAAGCAGAACTTCAAAAACAAACCAACAACCCCCCCCAATGCTACACCATAAAACATGTCAACTACTGTACCCGTGAAGGTGTTCCACTTCCTGTGCTTCCCCTTCTGTTTGCGAGTTCTCCTGGATTGGACATGGATACAGACGTGGAAAAGGGATGAGTAAAAAACCCCGAGGTCTGTGAGCGTGACGAGCGCAAGCTGCCAGCGTCCATGTCCTGCTCCGACCCCAATCCGTGGTGGCACAGCACCAGATCCACCAGGTCTTCCTTCTCTCTGCAGGTGTCTGTTGGGATGTTCCTGAGAATCAGGTACTGACGCAGATCCTTCACTTTCAATCTCATTAGCTGAGGTCGCTGGAAGGCTGTTTCTTGCAGCAAGTGGCAAGTGGAACATCTCCGGAGATTCTCTTGTGAGACTGAACAAACGGAGCAAAAATCCTTCTTGCAGTCACAGCACACGTGCTAAAGGGAAAGAAAACAACCATTCAGCTGTTTGTCACACAACACAAACCCAGGCCCTGCTCCTTCCTTCTCCAGGCTACGGAATTTACTGTTAGTTTTTCCACTCTCAGTTGTGACATATGGAATTTTTAAGGTTTAAGTCCACAAAGCTGCCCTGTCAGACGGTTTTGCAGGTGCTCCAAGGCAGTCTCTCACTTTTGTGGCAATACTGAAGCTGATCTGAAGTCTCAGTGAAAAACATTAGGAATAAACAAATGAATAAAGTACTCAAGTTGTACTTTAACCAACAAACAAAACTGAACCAATTTTATGGTCTGTTAAAACACTTGTGCATTTACTGTTGCTGTTCTTTTCATGTGTAAAAAAACACAGTGTAACCCTCAAACTTTAAGGAACTTCTCAACTTCTTCCTCAACTGATTCCCAGAATGCAAAGCAGGCTAAGGATGTGATGAATCACATGGCAGGGAAATACTCCCCAATGCCCAGATGTCATTTCTGAAGAGAGCTTTGTTCAAAAGACTCACAATACACAAAAGCTGGACAATGGATACGACTGTCAGCATTTCATCTGCTGTGAACAAACCCAAACTCTTTGAGGCTTTCAGGATTTTAGGAAATTATTATCAGCTTCAGAAAACATCCCTACACACACTCGATTCAACATGTGATCAACAGGACATATGGGAAGGGGAAGCAACACACAGACACAGGGAAGAGGTTACACAATCATCTGGAAGAGCTGCCGAGGGTTAAGTCACTGAGGGGACAAAATAACGAGCCTGGACAGTTGTGGTACACAGAAATAATATTAACAATCTCATTTATCTGCATTAACCCACCTGCCTGTTTCCCAGGGAAGCAACAGGCTGTTGGATCACAACAGCTTTTAGCAGGACTAAAGCTGGCTAGGAAACAATCAGAACTGCACTAGGAATTCCCACAAAGAGGCTCTGATACTGTATTGTGAGTTTTTACCTTTTCCACCGTGCAGTTTGTTCTTTCCAGTACTCAACCACTGTGTTTGGTGCCATCTTCAAAAACAGATCTGCTTTAACGTTTAAGATCCTGAAGCCAACACGTTTGTATCTCACAAATGAGAGTCCGTTAATTTCCAGGTCAGCCCAGATCCAGCGTGTCACTGACTAATGAACACGAGACCTCTTAACTTCTAATCCTGGCTGACAGTAATTTCCTGTGACCTCAGAACAAGGCACTTCCTCCCTCCCTGGATTTCTGCCTTGGTTTTTCTGAGAAGCACACGCTCATCTCCCAGTATGCCACAGATTAGCTCACAGGGTAAAAATACCGTGTAATAGGGAATATACTCACCTTTTTCCTGAAAACTGAGAAGGAAAGTCCACAGGCTTTGCAGACGATGTTCGTGCTGGCTGCAGCTGGAGATGGATACGCTGAGAAGTCTGTACTTGGTGTAAACCTGAATGGGCCAGCACCTCCCCCAAACCCAGCCTGCTGGCCACGCACTGCTCCCGTCCCCATGACTTCATTCAGCAATCCGCAGCAGGAAGCCCACATGGAAGTAGCTCCCGCCTGAAAACACCGAGAAGCAAGAGCAGAAAATTAATATCTGAAGGCCCCCATCAGATGTGACTTTGCTACTGAGGAGCTGCTTCACTCCATCTGTCGTCATCCCAGAAGCATGTGGTGTGAATTCCCAGAGCACCAGGAATCCTGTGACAGCCCCGCCAGCTCTGCTCCAGCTGAAATCCGAAGTGGGAAAGATTTACCTCCGAGAGGCCAACGCAGGCACAGGGAGCTCACATTCACAACTCCTTTTCCAGCAGAATTCCCCACAAGAAGAGTCAGGAATTTGAGGAGGTGACACAGAGCAAGGAAGGAGGAGACTGACAGGCTGTTGTAGGTGAGGGGCAAAACCTGAGGGGATGACAGGCGGGAACAGCAATTTCTCATGATTAATGCAGAGCTGTCCCTGCAGGATCTGCTCCAGAACTAATCCAGCTCCTGTATGACTCACAACAAAACTCTCTCCAAAAAAACATTCCTGGGTTTCAAACTTGAAAACCAATCTTCGTTAGAAGCTCATTAGTTCGGTTTCACTGAGAGGGAAACGCTGTTCAAGATCTCCCTGAACCCCCTTGTTTTGTTGCCTTACAAAATGTCTAACAAGAATTAAAACAACTTTTATTCTCTCTTGATTGGATTTCAGTTTTGAGTCATGCAGTCTTAAAACACTACAGAAAATCCTAGACACATTAAAAAAATGCTACTTTTTATCCCTGAAAGCCTTTAGTGCTGGATTCTCGATCAAAAGTGCACATTCTACTCAGAGGTGGAATTTGGACTCCAAGCTGTTCAGGTCACATGTTTAATCACTGTCAGGTGGCTCCCTGAAACCTGCTCAAAAAAAAAAAAGGAGGGGTAAAACAATCCCATCAGGTTCTCTCTGGAAGGAAGCTGAGGGATACGACTTCCTATACACATAATTATTTCTTCATACTTTTTTTCTTTAACAGTTGTTCTCTTTTTCATTCCAGAGGATCCTCTTTTCGTCTCCCCAAAGCTCAAAGACACAAAATAACTGCTTTTGAGACTTGTAATTCTTGCTGTGAAACCCAATCCAACCAGACAGCTCAGTGACATGGTGATGTAACTCCTAAAGTAACTAATTTCTACAAGAAATCCAATCCTCAAACTAAGCCTTATTTTCTACTTCTCAATAATAAAAACTGGAAAACAGATCAATATTAATTTTTCCTGGACAAAACAAGTTACACATAATTACCCTAGTTTATTAGGCAAGAGGAATTAACTTTCCAGAAACAGAACCTGAAAACCAATGACTTAATCCAACACCGCTCCGAGTTTTAAAACTTGGGACTTTAGAAAAATACTTTTTCTCAATTTAAGGGGAAGCCACATACAAATATCAGAAAAATATAACAATGAACCAGAAGAGTCTGTCAAAACTCAACTCGTTTTCTTGCATAACTATGGTCTTTTCGGGGGGTCAGGGCAGCAGGAGGACACTCAGTGACTAAAGGGATGTGAGATATTTGCTACCACAGCCCCTGCCTGAGGGTTTAACACCTTCTTAGACCTATTTTACTCCAGAGCCTGTAGCAACTGCTCAGACATCACTGTCAACACTAAAGAAATGTATTTTTAGGAACTTTTCGTTACCCACTTTGGACACATAACTGTTGTTAGTATGAAACAGAGAATCTCTTTATCTTACTGCCAACCACTCGGTCATTTCAAGGTTCAGGATAGGGCTACCCGGGCACCATTAATTTTCTCCTTAACCTACCTACGCCACCTGTGGATTCCTCCTATGCCCTCGGGTCATTAACTGATAATTGAGTTACAGAGTCTAGACTCTCCATATTGCTCTGCAGAAGAAACCAGACCATGCTGAAAGGCACCAACACAGCACACGAACGAGACACGGTAAAACAAAAAACTCCCTCCCTTGGGAATCAGTTAAAACGCTGCCAACTTCTGCACCAAAACCACCGCTCTCTACTTCCATATTCTCTCCTCACCAGCTGCCATCGAGTATCCTCTCTCTCCACGCCTTATGCGCGTCCTACAGGGGCAAAACACTGCGCTGCAACTTCTCTGCGGCTGTTTTTGGCTGTGAGGGTGTCACCTGAGGAGGATTCCAGCTGAGAAAGGCAGCCGAGCTGGGAGAGCACACCTGTGCAAGGGGGTGCTACCAGAGCAGCGGGACAGCAGCGGAAGACATGTATTTTTAATTATTTTTAACTGGAACTTCCTCTTTTGACCCTCCCTTAGACCAAGCAAAGCTTTTCCCCCGACCGCACGACGACAGCCCCGGGAGCCTCAGGGGCGCCCCGGGGTCCGGCAGCCCCCGCTGTGCCCCTCACAGGCCCAGCCCGGGCCCTGCTCGGCTGCTGACTCAGCACAAGGCGCGGGGGCCCCTCAGCTCGGCGGGGCCGGCGCGGCCGCCCCTCACAGCGGGACGGCGCCCGCGGCCTGAGGGGAGGCCGGGCCCGGACACCCCAGGGGGGCCCAGCCCCGTCACCCTCCGCCGTTCGCCCCCTCCTCCCTCCCTCTCTCCCCACAGAGGGAAAAACGCTCTCCCGGCCGGACAAAACCCCTCACCCTCACGGCTCTCCCCTCACCTTCATGGCCGCTCCCGCCGCTCCAGCGCCGCCGCCGCCGCCGCCCCCGCCCCTCCCGGACCCGCCGCCGGCCCGCTCGGAGGGCGGGCTCTGCCGCCGCGCTGCGCGCCCATTGGCTGCTGAGCCGCCGCGCCGCGCGCCCATTGGCTGCGCCGCTCCGACGGTAAGAGGGAACGGCCAATGGGAGCGGGGAACGAGGGGATGATGGGCGGGGCAAAGAAATGCCCCGAGCGGGGCCGGGACAGAAGGGAGGGAGGGGGCGGAGGGCACCGAGAGTGGGTCTGTGGAGTCCGGGGGGACACCGAGAGTGGGTCTGTGGGGTCCGGGGGGGCACCGAGAGTGGGTCTGTGGGGTTCCGGGGGGACACCGAGAGTGGGTCTGTGGGGTCCAGGGGGACACCGAGAGTGTCACTGACAGTGGGAGCGATGGTGGCAGTCACAAGTGGGACTGGCGGTGGCACCGATGGTGTTACTTATAGTGGGACAGGTGGTGGCTCCCATGGTGGCACTAAGGTGATCCTGCCCCTCCACTCGACTCCTGGAGTGCTGTGTCCAGTTCTGGGCTCCTCGGGATGAGACAAAGAGCTGTTGGAAAGGGTCCAACAAAGGCCACGGGGATGCTGAAGGGACTGGAGCATCTCTCTTATGAGGAGAGAATGGGGCAACTGGGCCTGGTTAGTCTGGAGAAGGCTAAGGGGGGATCCCATCAATCCATATCAATCCCTCCAAGGGGTGTCAGAGGATGGTGCCAGACCCTTTCCAGTGGTGCCCACTGACGGGACGAGGAGCAATGGCCATAAACTGAAACACAAGACGTTTCACCTCAACATGAGGAAGATCTTCTTTCCAAGGAGGTGGCAGAACCCTGGAGCTGCCCAGGGAGGGCACGGATCCTCCCTCTCTGGAGATATTCCAAACCCACCTGGACACATTCCAGTGTCACCAGGTGACCCTGCCTTGGCAGGGGGGTTGGCCTGGATGATCTTCAGAGGTTTCTTCCATCCCTAACGACCTTCCCTTATCCAGGGTTGCTCCAAGCCCTGTCCAACCTGGCCTTGAACACTTTCAGGGATGGGGCAGCCACAGCCTCTCTGGGCAACCTGTGCCAGGGCCTGCCCACCCTCTGAGTAAGGAATTTCCTCCTGATATGTAACCTAAATCCACCTCTTTCAGTTTTATTGTACCAAGCCCTTTGGTGATAATCTTTAAATACGAGAATAGAAGGTTTATTATGTAAAAATCCACTTCCAGCGAGCTTCTAGATGCCATTATTTTTTTCCCTAGGCTGTGAATGGGATATATATAAAAATAATAAGCATAGGTTGTAGGAACAAAAAGCTTTTAACCAGAAGATTATATTAAAGAAACCCCAGAGGCACAAACCCCACCAAGGCTTTAGGAAAGCTTTACATAAGAACACACAGGGCCAAGAACAAGGGAGGCCTTTGCCAAAAAGAGGAACAGACAAAAGTGGCTGAAAATAAAAATGGCCCACAGATCAAATTTACCCCTACAAAGAGTTGGACACAATCTGCTGATTTCTGCAGAAAGGATCTATTTTTGGAGCAAGTCAGATACAAGAACTGAGTCAAAAAAATCAGTGTGTAATTGCCACGTGAAGGGCACAGTCCTGGCAGCTTTAGGAGCAGGAGCAGGTACTCCACACAGTCCAACTTCTGGATTTGCACTGACACCATGTTTTATTTCAAAATCAGGTCACCTTTTTTTGGAAATTCTTATGCTCCTCAACAAGCTTTAGATATGCTCTGAACTTTTACACATGACTTAATAAAAATGTCATTTTTTTCCAATAATAGCTTGCAATTTTAGTCAAAGCAACTGAAAAAAAATAGAAAAGTCTTGTGAATACAATGTTGGAACAAGATATGGCACATTCCCCATGTTTCTCATGCAAAAGATTGCTTGAAGACACCTTCAGAAATACCGGTGCAGTTTGGTTTTAAAAACTTCTGTGTCATCTAAACTCTGTCAATTCGGATTCACCCTTGAAGCACCAAACTACACACATATTTTGGTTAATAATCTTACATTAAAGCATGAGAGCTCCATGCAATCACTGTAACAGGGTAAAAGCTGTCCCACAGATGACCCAGACCAAGTAAAACCCAACATTTTCCCTTTCTCTCTGTCAAGGATCTGCCAAAAAAAACAATCCTCCCAAGCACAGATGTTTTAGGGAGTAACGTGGGCCTGACAGAGCTGAGATCTGGTGACTGTGCTGGCAGCTGCACTTGCCACTCCTGCCTTAATTTGGGCAGATCTTGATGAATCATACCCTTAACATGTGATCTGAGATCACTTTTACTGCATTTGCCTGAATTGTAACCACCTCGATGGTTTTTAAACGGGGATCTTTTAACTCCGCCGGCTACTCCGTGGGTGAAAAGGAGCACTTGGAGAGGTTCTATTAATAAAAGATTTGCCCTCGCTGAGCCTCCTGGCTCGTGCCCAAGCAGCATTAAAAGATTTCAATCTGTTACTGCGAGATGTCCCACTTACTTCTGCCGCCAAGTAACAAGCGGTGGTGACTTGGCTGCGGGTCCGTAATCCCCCGTGGTTTTACACATCACCAGAGAGAGAGGTGCAGAAGGGATTCCTCCCAGGAACGTTAATTAGGGTTTAATTTAACAATCTGCAAAATTTAATAGCAAAGTTAAAAAAGACAAACCTAATCCCTGGGCTTTATCTGGGAATTTCAGGTTGGACGTTAATGCCCGTAGGAGGAGTCACAGAATAACAGAATGGTTTGGGTTGGAAGGGACTTTAAAGATCCCCTCTAGTAGAAGGGACAACTTCCACTACCCCAGATTGCTCCAAGCCCTGTCCAAACTGGCCTTGGACACTGCCAGGGACGGGGCAGCCACAGCTTCTCTGGGCAACCAGCAGTTTGGAACCACCTGTGAGAAGGTTTTCAGGCTACAGAGAGTTGGTTCAACAGATCCAGCACAGAAATGCAAAGATCCCCAATCCCAGACAGAGGCCATTTCCTGCTTGATGAGCTCAGGGATGTTACTCAGGGGCTATTTTAGGTAAGGGAAAAGATGACTTTTTCAACCCCGTTACCTAATCTTGAATTTAATGTAACCAACATCATCTCTCACTGCTTATTTGGAATTTGGAGGGCTGGTTTTTAGGCGTTTGAGCTCATTTAAATAGACTTTAAAAATGTATCCTGAGTGTTCTGTGTACCACGCACTGAAGGATTGTCAGCAGAGTTCACACTTCGGCTTCAGAGCCTTGCACAGAAACATCAGAACCAGATGTTTGCCATTTCCTCTTTCCTCCCAGCTCTGCACAAGCTGCTGCAGCCCAGCCTTTATCTCATCCCCCTCCCCTCCCTGCCCAGCCACGCCACCAGTTCCGTGTTTCCACCCAAAGCCATCGTGCTTTAGTTTCAGGAAATGTCAGCAAATTGACCTTTGTAACGTAATAGCTGGAGTTACTTCCCGGGTTTTATATTCAGATATAGTTCAATGAGTTCGTTGAGGTTTGGGAAACGATCATTAATTACGCCAGCAGCAACTAACTACAATGTTAAGTTCCTTAAATGTAAATTTATTCTAGAAAATTACTCCCCGCTTGATTTGCCTCCTCCTCCCCCTCTCACCACCCCCAGGCATGAATCAGGAGCAGAGCAACGAAATCCCCAGGGACATGCAGATGTATAATAACATTGAGTTTTGTTTTGCTCTCACTTAACAAAAAATGAGAACTATTATAATAATTGGAGTATTTTCTTTGGGAATACGATGCCTTAATGAAGTACTTTAACAACTTATTGAGAAAATAAAAACTTACATGTGGAAACATCTTTGTTGCATCACAATTAACTTGCAAATCCAGACAGGGGTGAATTCACTCCATGGTGTTCTCTGTCTGTAACGTGGAAACACTCCTGTCAGAGCAGAGACAATATGTATTGGACAGGCAGGTTCATGTAAATTTTACTGTATAAAAGATGTAACTTTTTACCGATTTATGGAAAACTCCACCTTGCGCCCTCTGCAGAATAAACAATGTTTCTGTTCAAAATTCAGACTCTGTGTCTGCGTTTAGGGAGCTCCTAAAATCAGCAGCAGCCCCACCAAGCGCTGCCTGTGGTCACCTCTGCCTCATTTGGTACAAGCGTGGCCACCTCTGGTAATCACTGAGTCATTACAGCTGGAAAAGACCCCAAAGATCATCAAGTCCAATCTTTGACCAATCACCAGCTTATAAACTCAACCATGTTGCAAACTGCCACATCCACTTGTATCCCAGGATCCAGTTGCTCACTGCCAGCTCACGTAAGAGTTTTCCATCACCCCCAAGTGCTTCTCCACAAGTACACTCCATACCCTCTCCAGGCAGCCTGTTCCAGTGTGCAGTCACTCCTGACGGGCTGTGGCCGCCCCACAGCCCTTGGTCACGGCTCCCCATGGGCAGGGACCACAGCTCCCCACAGGCCAGGGCCATGGCTCCCCACAGCCCGTGGCCATACCTCTCGACAGCCCGTCCCAGAGCTCTCCACAGCCCGTCCCAGAGCTCTCCACAGCCCGTCCCAGAGCTCTCCACAGCCCAGGACCATGGCTCCCCACAGCCCATCCCCATGGCTCCCCACAGCCCGTGGCCATGACTCCCCACAGCCCGTCTCATGACTCCTCACAGCCCGTCCCATGACTCCCCACAGCCCGGGGCCATGACTCTCCACAGCCCGTCCCCACGGCTCCTCACAGCCCGTCCCCACGGCTCCTCACAGCCCGTCCCCACGGCTCCCCACAGCCCGGGGCAGCCCTGGGGAAGGAGTCCCGGGGCGACGCCTCGAGCCCTTCTCTGCCCGGCCACTTCTCTCCCCGGAACGTCTCTCCCGCGCTCCGCGCTCCGGGCCGTCCCCTCGGTGGGGTCACACAGCCCCTTCCACCACGGACACCCCGTTCCCCTCCGATTGGCCGCGGCTCCGCGCGCGCGCCATCGGTGGCGCCGGCGATTGGCCGGCGGGGCGGGGCGCGCGCGGTCTCCCGGGCGACGGCGCGCCCGTCCCCGCGGTCCCCCCCCCCGGGCGCCGCCATGGCGAGCGTGCACGAGAGCCTGTACTTCAACCCGATGCTGAGCAACGGCGTGGTGCACGCGAGCGTGTTCGGCGCCCGCGACTGGGTCACCCCGCACAAGATGGCCCTGCTCGTGCTCCTCAGCGAACTGGGCCGCGCCGGCGCGCAGCTCGGGCTGCTGGAGCGCCGCCGCCTCAACCGCCTGCTGCTGCCGCTGCTGCAGGTCGGGGGTGGGCCTGGGGCGGAGGGGGGGGCAACCCGTGGTGTCGTGGCCTTGTTGTCGAGACATATCGCTGTGCTTTGCAGGGTCCCGACATGGCGCTGTCGCGGCTGCGCGCGGCCATCGAGGAGTGCTGCCCGCAGCTCGCCAGCTCCGTCCACATCAGGTGCGGGAAACGCCTCGGGCGGGGCGGGGCGTGGCGGGACGGGAGGAGCTGCCGGAGCCGCGAGTGCATCCTCCGCTCTGGCTGTGCCTGACACTTCAAAACTTTTCCGAAACGTGCGAGCGACCGGTTTTAAAAGTCACGCATTCGGGGCAAAACTGCGCTCCTGCAGTTTCTCTTGCTTCTCGTCAGTTAGTTCTGAAAGGCACAAAACAGATGTGGAAGGCATCAGGTTTAAAGTTGATGTGGTGCAGGAGGTCTGTTCTCACACGTAACCCGCTGAAACAGCAACAGTTCCAAAACTCTGATCAAAAGTTTTAAATTTTTTAAATTTAAAAATTATAAATCAAAATGTTGGGTTCCTATTAGTTCTGTTGCAATAGCCATATTTTCTAATTATTCTTTTTATTAAAAGAGCTATTTTAAAAGGAAAAAATTATTGGTATTATTATTGTAATAATTACCATTACTTTTATAATTATCACAATTATATTGAATATTTATCTCAGGAGTATAAAAACCTTCTGGCCCCGGTGAAGAGTTACCACTTGATTCTGTCTGTGTTTATTCACTTTTGCCTGAAACAGAAGAGTATTTTATTTAATGTCTGTATGAATACCATAAAAAAAAAATTGCTGTTTCCTCTCCCTGTTTAGGTTAAAACTTATGGTAGAAGGAGAACTGAAAGATATGGAGCAGTTTTTTGATGACCTTTCAGACTCATTTACAGGGACAGAGCCAGAAGTTCATAAAACAAGTGTCGTAGGTAAATAATTGCTATCCATAAGTTATTTTTTCTGTGATACCTATAATTGCTGTAGTTTAGTCAGGACACAGCTTTGTTTTTCTTTTTAGGGAGCTGTAAGAATATTTCTCTTGCTCAGATGTTTCATATTAACCAATAATTTTGCATATTGTCAAGTTGTTACTGATTCTATCAATTTTTCTGTGATCAGATTATTTGTGAGATTTGCACCAAAATTAAGATCAGCTTTATACCCTGAAAAAATTACTTTTATGACTTGGTCGACTGAGATGAGGCTCATTAATTTCTATTAAATTTCTCATTAATTTCTCATTAATTTCAGTTAAATGAGAAATGAGATGATGTGGTTTAAGCTCCTGGTCACGATGCTTCCCTTCCCAGGTCTGTTCCTGCGCCACATGATCCTGGCATACAACAAACTCTCCTTCAGCCAGGTCTATAAACTTTACACAGCCCTTCAGCAGTACTTCCAAAGGGATGAGAAGAAGAATGGAGCTGATGAGAGTGACATGGAACTCACAAATCCGGAGGAGCTGGATGGGAAAATGGAGAAGGAAGAACTGGACGGGCCGTTAAGGTGATGTATTCACATTAAAGCCTTTTCTGCCTCTAAAAGAAATCAATCCTGGATTTTTTTTTAAAGCCTCCTAAACCCGGGCTGAGCTCTGTGGCTACTTCTTAGTGCCACCATGTGGTAACTCTTGTCAGTGGCTCGTGGAAGGTGGCAGTGCCTCATCCTCACTTAGGCAATCACAGGCTGAAGGGCAGTTGCTGCCCACAATTTCCCCACTGCTCACTGACTTCTTTATTTTTCATGTGCTAAAGCTGTTGGAGGGTCACCTCCAGCAAGGGAAGTTTGCTCAATAAGGAGAAGTTAAGCTGAATGTTTTGGGGTTCTCTCTCTACCCCTCTCCTAATAAAAGAACTCACTCTTTGTACTTGTTGTTTTTCCATGGAATAAACTTCTGGCAGAAGAGCTGTTTCCTGGAGTGATGTGTGTGGCCAGAGTGCCAGTCCATTTCACTGGGACAATCTGCAGAAGAAATTTAAAACAGAGCAAATCCATTTAAATGTGCCAACCCCAAAATCTTCCCTCTGCTCTTCAGATGGCTTTGGTGTAGTAAATTTTACTCTTTGTTAAGTTTTCTGAGTTTTCAGCCCTGCTTTGACCTTTAATATCTCATAGAACTTTATAAAGCAAAAAAACTATGGAGTGTCTGATAAAGTTTATTTCCTTATTCTATTGCCTTAGCCCTGTTTGTAACCAGAGTGTTTCTTACCAGGGAAGAAGAGATATCCTGCAGTGGCCCTCTTTCCCAGAAGCAGGCAGAGTATTTTCTGTCTCAGCAGGTATGTTAATTCTGAATAAATGTGGGGTAAGTGTTCCATAACGTGAATTTCACCTTGACTTATATCCACAGTTTCAGACACGATGTTGAATCTGTTAAAGGCTTGTTGATAATCTTGCATGTTGTTGCTCAGTGTGAGCACTTGGGGCTCAAAGTGTTTTATCTAGACATCACCATATGCTGATATTTGGTTCTGGGAAGGTCCTTCCGCTCTCCCTGCTCGCCTCAGATCTGATGTCTGTGAAATGTGCAGTTTTGTTGATTATTCCAGCTGGTAAATACAAAATGGAGCAGAAATACACATGGGCACAAATGTCAGGGATCCAGTATTCAGTAATGCTCATTCTAGTAACTAGATTATTGTAGTTTTTTAATTAATTGAACTGCTTGCCAAAGCAAACTGTGGATTTAGTTGTATTTATTTTCCTGATTTTTTTTTTTTTTTTGGTGGGAAGATACATGTAATTCCAGTGAGAAATGTATTGTGTTAATTATTCAAGGGGAAATTTCACCAGAATTCTTTAAGTACCTTTAAACAGTCCTTTGAAAAAGCTTTTATTTGACTTGGTCTCTCTGATCTCTGGAAAGTGAACACTGTAATTTAATACAGAATAAAACTGACACTGATGTTTCAGTGTCACAGTAGACAGAGCTGTTACAAAATCTCCTTTAATGTTCTCTCCAAGCAGATAACAACCTGACAGTCCTGTATCACAATGCACTTATAACCCTCCTGATGGAGTTACATATCTTGCTTTTCAAATTTTTATTCCAGGCTTCTTTATTAAAGAATGATGAGACAAAGGCTCTTACTCCAGCATCATTACAAAAGGAACTGAACAACTTGTTAAAATTTAATCCAGACATTGCTGAAGCAGTAAGTACCATTTTCTTCATCCAGAATGGTTGTAAAGGGATTTCTTATCTCTAGGCTGGGATTATTCGGGTGCAATTTATTCTCTATTGAAATATAAGCAGATGATAAAAATGGGAGCAAGTTGCATGTAAATTTTTAGTCATTCAGACTGAAACTCCTGAAGGCACAGAAACCTTAATTAAGCTTCCCTGCATGTCTGGCTTCATGCACAGATATAAGCCTCCTAAATTTGGTGGGACTGAGTGCATTCTTGTTTAACTAAACCTAAAGCTTACTTCTCTTACCCACATTTTCTAAGGAATTTCAGGCCTCATATTCCCATAGTTTAAAAATCAATATTAGCTGCAATATCTGTGCTTAATAACAATTTATACTGAAAACCTTGACAAATCCCACTGAGGGTCATTTCCAGACCTGTGCTGTGAACACTTGCCTTGTTCCTGAACAGCTTGTTCTTGTGCAAATTCCATGAGTTCCCAATCAGCTCTTTCCTGTCTAACTCTTCCTCCCTGGGCTGAAGCAGACAGGATTTTTTGCTCCTGTTTGGACACATATCCCTGAAAAGGCTGCCATAGTCCTGGGCTGGGCTTCACAGCTCCGTAATTCCTCTCCAGTGTTACGTTTGTCTCATATAAAGGAATTGCCCTGCCTGGGTCTCAAAAAGAAAACACATAATTTTAGCATCTCCTTCCTACCTGCACAGCATTTGGAAGCAGTTCTGATGTTTCTGAGTGTCTTCCTGAGTGCAGACACAGTGGGATTTGTGCCTCCATTCCCCCTCTCACGTCACACATAAATGCAGGGATTCTGCTTTGGTGATTCTACCTATGCAGAGATCCCAGGCTGGGTGGGATCATTCTGACTGCCAGAGCTTGGCCTATGGGACACCAACTGCTGGGGACAACAACCAGTTTTGTCCAGAAATTCTGCACAGGTAGTATCAGTGTTGTTGCAGCTTTCTGGCCATGCAGTATTTCATGGCGGACCAACCTTTCTCCCTAAGAAAATAGATGGTAATTATAAACAAAAGACGTGTTTTAACATCTGTATTGTTAAAGCTGTTTGTTTGTTTGTTTTTTTTTTAGCATTATTTGAGCTATTTGAACAGTCTCAGAGTGCAGGATGTCTTCAGTTCCACTCACAGCCTCCTCCACTACTTCGACCGGCTGATCCTGACGGGGGCAGAGAGCAAAAGCAACGGGGACGAGGGCTACGGGCGGAGCCTGCGCTACGCTGCCCTCAACCTGGCGGCCCTGCACTGCCGCTTTGGCCACTAGTGAGGGCTTCCCTGTGCCACCCACCAGCTCATGGGCACCCTGGGATGCTCACACACACCCCCCTTTCCTCCTAAAATCCCTTTAGGAGAAGGGGCTTTCTCTGGTTTGGCAGTTGGGCCGGGATTTTCTTGGGGTCTTGGTTTGTTTTTGTTTTGGCGTTGGTTTGGTTTCCATAAGAACT